TTTTTATTATTAGCATCGACCGCGCTAACCGGCTGACCAATTAAAAGACGTCAGTGCCAGCGGGTAAAAATCAAGGTCCCTGGAAGGGGGCCAAAATTCGAAAAATGCGCAATGCGCTTGATGCGAATGCCAATACGACGCTCTCCACATGTTCTTTCACGTAGACACACATCTCACCGGTCGCCCCGGTGGTCTAGTGGGTAGCCTCGCAGCCTGCTAAGGGCCAGGTCATGGGTTCTAGTCCCGGCAGGGAGAGTTTTTTTCTCACTAAATAAATCCTGGTCTAGGATGAAAGCGACGCGCTGCAAAGCTCGTTTGTTAGTAAACCATACTCGACTTCGTAAGTCGCGAGGGAAGGGATTGCTGTACCCTTCTCGCGATAAAAATACCTCAGGCAGGAACCGCAGGAGGGGGTCCNGCAGAGTCCAATGATGGGAGAGAAACAAACAAAAAACAAACAACATCTCAGCTACACAAATGCATTCGGAAGCCACTGATGCAAAGAGCGGAGTGCAGCAAAAGGGTTATTTCAAGCCCAGCCAAAGCCAGAATATCCTGTGTGTGTGTGTGTTCACCTTTGCATTTTATATCTGCCTTAGCTGATCACCCCCCTTGACCTCCACCTACGCGATTTGGCTCCCTCTCTCGCGGGTGTAATTAGGTACCACACCGCAAGGCACGAAGACGATGAAGGCCTTCGCGGAGGCAGGGCAGAAGGTGGTTGAGTCGATGCGGTCCAACTCGCGAGAGAACACCACAGTGGTCACCACCATCAGCACCAATGGTATCACGTGAGCGCCAACCATTGTCTTGACAGGACGCGACTCCAGCCTGACTTGTTCGCCAAGAGGAACGGCCCGGAGGATGCGAGTTACACGTGCACGGACTNTGCCGAGCGGAACGGCCCGAAGGATGCGAGGTACACGTCCACGGACTCTTCGTTCATGCAGGGCGACGTGTTCATCTAGTACCTCAAGGACTTCCACAAGCAGCTTGACGACCGAGGCGTGCGCGACGGAAAGCCGCACATCCTCATGCTTGATGGGCATGCCTCACACATGAGCTACGAGGTCATCAAATTGGCCATGGAACTCAACATCATCCTCTTCCAGCTGCCCTCCCACACGTCGCACATCACCCAGCCGTTGGACGTCGTCGCTTTCGGAACCTTCAAGAAGGAGGTGACTAAAGTNGAGGAGCTTTACACCGGAGCGGAACAAAGCATCCTTCGGCGGGGCTGTGGCCTGTGGACGTGGATCGAGCGCTGACCCGGCTTCAGGGCACGGCGAAGAGGAAAGAGGCCGACCGGGCGCCCACCCCTTGAGGATGTCCCCATCGCTATGACCCACGAGCAGGTGCAAGAGGCCATCGGAGAGGGACTGATTCTTGCCGTGGCGGCAAGCGAAGTACCGAAAATATACCCATTTTTGAACAACTATTTTTTGAGCGTAACAATTCCTTTCGGTGTGATTTTTTTTTTCGGTAGTGTTATATACGACACCTACCATTTCTTGGCCCACAGGGCTCCAATCGGCGTAAAACATAATGCGCTGTGTAGCCACGGCCCGCAGCTATCAGCCCATACCATTTGGGGTCAAATCGGCCAAGTGGTTGAAGAGATATCTTAGAAAAAGGGGACTCAGCAGCATCGCAGGGTTAGGTTCTACCACGAATACGACTGTAACTCCGCCCCCAGAGCTCCAATCGGCGTACAACAAAATGCGCTGTGTAGCCACGGCCCGCA